AAATTTTAATAAAACTCATCTCAAAAATTCTTTAAATTAACCTATACAAGTAAAATTAAATTAAAGCAATTAAAAATTATTAATTTATTGGTCTAACATATTATTTTTTAACTTTCATTAAATTCATAACCATAATCAAATTATATTTTATAAAATAAATATTGAACGAAATGTTTATAATTTTATAACATAAGATAACCTACACATTTTTATAAATAATTTTTCTCTATTTATTATTAAAAAATTTTCTACTTACCATTAATAATAAATTAGTTTTAGTCGACGCACACCTAACACTTTATTCATTCTCAAAATTTTTAATTTATCTTACAATTTAAATTATTTCTTTAAAATTATCCATTAATTATTATTTGTTTACATTTTACTGATGACAATTGATGACATTTTTTAATATGACAGTTGCTTGCGCATGGACTATAAAAATACAAGTTGCACCACAATTTCTAGCAGCAACTTCAGGGGGAAGGCATTCACACGTTCTAATAATACATAAGACTTAAGACATAAGACTTAACGGTTGCCATGGCAACGGTTGTTATGTTGATTGATTCTTCTTTTTCCTTGACTTATAAATTTTTGAATAATTTAAAATTCTGCATAATACAGGGAAAAAAAGTCTTACACCTACCATCTCATGTAGAAAAATTTAATAAAATTTATATATAATTTAAATAAAATTTTTCTATTTATATTCAATTCAATTTATATACAAATTATAACAAATATGTATTAATATTATATTTATTTTTTATTACAATTTGAGTATATACTTTTTTTATACAACTTAAATTGTTAACAATGTATTTGAATAAAACACAAAAATTTATATAAGGGACATTCCATTTCAAATCGATCCACTACCAAAACACTATCGTGTGCAGAGCACTTTTAAAGCACAATTTATATTATTAAAAGTAAATATAAGTAAAAAGCTTATATTTACTAGTTTCTACCTACTAAATATTAGAATGGGCTTTTAAGTAGATACGGAGAAAAGAATAAAAATACAAAACTGTTTTTACTTAATTTTGCAAAGAATATGAAGTTTGAACATAACCCACTTCAATCATACATCCGATTAAAATTCGTTTTTTTTTATTATGTTAACAAAATTTCTTCTGAGAACATGAAATTTGAATAAATTCTGATGCATGTTTATGAAAATTAATTACACAGGATAAATTTAATATTCAGAATGTCCACAATTCAATACAATAAATGTGTAAATCCGTTTGAAAAAAATCATGGTTACGGAACGAACTTGAGAAATATTTCGGAAAACATAAAAAAGAAATTTCCAGGTTTAGTTGGTAAAGGATTGAAAATTTTTAATAGTTGCAGAAAAGAAATTTATTCATTATCAAAAACGTCTGAATCTTCAGAAAATCTTTCAAGTAAATATATTAATAACGGTTTTAATTCTTTTGTAAAATTTAAATTCTAATTATAAATAACTTTGTAATTTTTAGTTGCAAATGAAGTCGGAGAATTGAATAATCTAGATAATAATAGTTCAGTTAGTAGTCCTAAAAATTCAGAATCTCAAAACTTTCAAGAATATAGCGAAGCAGGTCTCGAGATTTTTCAGCAATTAATAGAGAAATTCAAAAAATCTACTTGTGCAAAAGAACAAATTTTGCTTTTAAGATTAGCACCAAAATCTTGAGGATATCAAAAAGTAGTACCAGCATTTAATGCAACTAAGTATCAAGCAATAAAAGCAAAAAAACTTATTTCAGAGCAAGGAATTTTATCAGAACCAAATCCAAGAGCAGGTCATCCTTTATCTCCTGAAATTACAAATCTTGTTAAAGAGTTTTATGAGTCAGATGAGAATAGCAGAAAATGCCAGGATTAAAGGATTGTCTTTCTGTAAAGCAAACTGATAATTCGCGTATTTCGGTACAAAAACGATTGCTTTTAGCTAACCTGTCAGAATTGTTTAACTTGTTCAAAGAGGAGAATGAAGATGTTAAAATTGGTTTCTCAAAATTTTGTCAAGTAAGATCATCCTACTGTGTATCAGCAGGTTCCAGTGGTACACACGTAGTATGCCTTTGCACACATCATGAAAATGTGAAATTAATGCTTGATGGACTAAAAATTTAGAAAATAGTTTAACAAATTATCAGGACTGTATAAATTTAAGTATGTGCGAAAATCCAATGCCCGAATGTTATTTAAACGAATGCAAGAAATGTCCAGGGAAGAAAAAATTACAAGAAATTTTAAAACCAATTTTTGAAGAAAATTAAATTGATAGAGTCCATTATCAAGTTTGGTAAAATACCGATAGGACAACAATTAAAACGGAAATTTCGAATGTTGATGATTTCATAATCCAAAAATGTCCAAAACGGAAAAAGAATTAATTATTCACTGCAAAAACAGGTGTCTATATTTAAGACACTTTTGTCCTTATTTTTAAGACGTTTTGGGATGTCTTTTAGGAAGACATTAAAAGTGACTATTTTGGAGACGTTTAAAGTGTCTTCATCCAGATGAAATTTACTGCTTGAATCGATACATAACCTAAAAATGCATGTATGCATTGATATTGCGCGGGAAACTTTCATCGAGACGAAGCAAGACGAATATTACCGAAGATACTCGAATACACAAAATGTCTTTTATTCAAAGTGTCTTACTTCGAAAACGTCTTAAATTAGCAAAAATGACTTAAATATAAACACTTTTACCGTCTACATTACATGTCTTAAATTATAAGCACTGAAAGTGACTTGTTTACATTTGTAAGACGCAAGAAGTGTCTCAAATTTTTAGACACTTTGCATAAAAGACAGATGAATTAGTCATTTATTCCAGACTAGACGTTTTCAAAACGTCTAATGTCTTAAAATAAGACGTTTTGAAGACGCTAGTTTTTGCAGTGTTGTTACTAAACCTAAAATGGTTTATTTATAAATTATTTTTCCTTTATCAAATATTAAATTTAATTTAAAGTAATTTGATATAACGATGTTATGTTTAAAGTTTAAATTTTATTACAATTTGTTTGTCTATTTTGTAAAATTAAACTTTTTAAAAGTAATAACAATTCACACCATTCTTACTTTCCTTCTGTGTTTACTTATGTTAAATTGGTTATTAACAGCATTCTAATTGAGATAAAATTTAATATATAATAATTTATAATAAAAGCTTCATGTATAAAGTGAGAAAATGTTTATTGAATGATTTATGTATATTAGTACTGTATTACTATTTATATTATTCAATTATAATATTTTAAATTATAATCGAAAAAATATTTTCCTTAAAAATAACTAACAAAATAATAAATTTTCTTTATCGTTTTTCGAGTAAATAAAAATTCGAAATTACATATATTTTGTTTTTATTTACGATATAAATGTAATTTAAATAAAAAAGATATAACGAAGTGCTATTATTAAATATTTCTTTTAAATGTTTTTTTTAAATATTTATTTGATGTATAAGCTTTTTTTAATACTATTTTCAACAAAGTTGAAGACGACATGTTTTATAAAAAATTGATTTGAAGTTTTAAAATTCAAAATTGAGCATCAAATAATTTATTTTTTAGAAAAGGATTATAACCATTAGAAAGATTAAGAAATTCTCTTTTAAAATCATTAATTTCATTGTATGGTTATATTGTTTATATTAGATTGAATAATAATAAAAATTAATATTTTTACCACAGAAAAATTAGATTTTTAAATGAATTGGATACTTTTACAAAGAAAAAAATTGTCGAATCATATTTTACTTAGTTAGACGAATTGAATTTTCTTGGGCAGGAGAAAAATACATAACCATAGGTGTTTAATTACGTCTAATTAATGATTAATTTTAATTTATATTTTTAATTTAATTTATAAACTTAATTATTTAATTTTAACTTAGTTTTAATTAAATTTTAATTTACAATAATTAATTAATTAATTTACGGTAAATTTTCTCGATTTAACGAAATTCTTTGTCTTTTAATCATAAAATGGTGAGGTTCAAATTATTAGAAATTCTTGTGTAACTTGAACGAAACATTTTATTGAAAGAAAATGACATGTATTTAAATAAATGAGATGTTTTTACTAAAAGAAGAAAATTTTAAGAAAATTAATAAAAAAAATTGTCTTTTCAAGCAGTCTTCTCTGCAGTCATTCAATTATTCTTGTATGAGACGATTTTTGCACGTAGACTTTGCATCGTGGCTTGATAGTTGTGAAGGTCCATCTTAATGAATCCGACGTCGCAGACACGTAGGCTATTGTCAAAAATATGTAGGTTTCTAATAACCTTACTGGATTCGCAGATTCAGGGGCAATCTTCGCTTTTAGAATGCTTTTGATTTCGGCAGCAAAATGTTCTTTTCCACTTTTGCGGCTTGCTTTCTCACTTCCTGAAATATTTCAATTAATAAGAAAAAACTTCTAAGAAACACTAAATCAATTATTTTTAATTAAATGTGATGGTAATATAATAATTATTTTTAATTATTTTTACTTTTTATTTAATAATTTATCCATCTTTTTAACTAATTTTATCTCTTAAAATAAATTAAGTAAATTGTTTTTAATAAAACAGTAAAAATTTTGAATGATTTTCTATGAACTTGTAGAAAAATAAAAATAAATAAAATAAGTCAAATAAATAAAGTAAGTCAAATAAATAAAATAAATAAAATAAGTAAAATAAATAAAATAAATAAAATAAGTAAAATAAATTAAATTAATAAAATAAATCAAATAAGTAAAATGAATAAAATAAATAAAATAAATAACAATAAAAAATACTTTTTAAGCCTTATCGATTTCTTTCTTCTTGAAATCTGCTTTTTTCGGTAAAGTTAGCCTTTTTGGATGTGCTTGATTTTGCAGGTTCTCGCGTTTTTTTCTTTGACAGAATTTCTTAAGGTGCCGTGAATTTTTGTGTTAATGTAAATAGCAAATCTCGATCATCTGAAATTATTAACATGTTTTATTAAAGTGTCACATGCCACGTGTGTGACCTCTAAGTAACCTTAGACCAGACCTGTTACCAAGCAAACTTGACAAACACCCATCGATGAGCAATCTTTTTACAACCCTATTACGTCGATACACGGATGTGATCTGGGTATATAAGGCCCTAAATTTGGATCCAAAAGTCAGTATCTAGTCAGCATCCAGTCAGTATCTAATTTAAATCAAACCGATCGACATCATCTCTGTACCAGTAGTCAGTGCGAATCTTTACTCGTTACCTACGATTATCCCAGTCTAAGTAATACCCATCTCGTGTGAGACCAAGCCGTTGTCAAATCTCCAAGCAGTAAAAATTGGAAAGGCGGTGCATCTGAACTGACTGTGGACGCACGAGCGGAGAACGGGTTTTCAGCTTCACAAAGAAGCAATAAAGGTAATTAACTAAATCTTTTCATCATATTCTTTCGATACAATTTCTATATCTAATAAACGCCTATTTGTTAAAGGTGTTTATTGGAACTGGTCTTCTCTCGGCAACATACAAATAAAGAACTTCAAGAAATCATTATATACTATTTTATAATAAATTTCATTTTAACTAATTCTTAACTTTTATTCATTGATTCTTTTTCCTCATTCCCAAATAAGATTTCTTCGGAATTTCTTATTTAAAACGAGGATAACAAATGTTAAGAGGTGAGTTACTTTTCACGTAACATACCCTCTTTTCTTGGTGCATCGGCCGGGAAAGCCATAAAGAATCAATGATATTATTTCTTATTTTTTCCAAAAATTTATTTTGAGATATATAAAATATACATGTTTTTAACAATTCTAAAATTTTCTATTAAAATTTGAAACATTTAAAATCAATTTTTAACTCTTATTTTTAACAATTCTAAAATTTAATAAAAAATTGAAACACAAACCGAGAGAGAATCAATTCCAATGATTAAATCATTTCTTTTAAAAATTAATGTCTACTTCTAAGGAAAATATTACACAAGATAAACATACAACTCGATCAAAAATCAAAGAAAACCCTACTTTAAAACTTAACCCAGGAATTCCTTATTTTAAACCTTTAGCTACTGGTACACCTAGATACTCTAACGAAAATCCAAACCCTTTTTGCAAATCCGAATTAGATTCAGGAATTTGTCATTCATTATTTGATAACAATTCTTTCAAAACTGACGAAGAAAGTGACAATACAATTTTAGAAAATAACGGTTCTTTAAATTCTACATTACGAAATAGTTTTAAACAAAGACTCGAAAATTCCATAATTAGCACACACGACAGTGACGACGAAAACAATCACGACGAGAACAGTGATAGTGAAAATTTTACAGAAAATAACGAAATGGCTCTACCAACAAATCAACAAGTATCTTTACGTGACGCTTTAGAAATAGTTCCTTTGTTTGACGGGACTAACATTCCAATCTCACATTTTATTGAAGGGTGTTTAGAAGCAGAGCAAATGCTTCCAGAAGGAGTAGCTCGAAATAATTTAGCAAAATTATTAAGAGCAAAATTAAGTGGGGATGCGCGAAAATGTATTTACGGAACTCAAATAGCAAATGTAGGCGAATTAATAAATAAATTAAAACGCGTATATTTGCCAGCTAAAACAGTGTACCAATTACAGGGAGAATTAGGAAATATATATATGTGGGAAAAGGAAAATATTACATCTTATGCTGCGCGAATAAAAGAAATTGCTGATAAAATTGAAGATGTTCACAGGTTAGGTAATAACAATGCAGTTGACGATGTTTTTAAAGAAAATCTAGAAAAAGACGTGAAGCATTGCTTTGTGCGCGGATTAAGACCCGAAATAGAAATTCGTTTGAAAGAAAAACCCACATTCCGAGAGATAGTAAACGACGCGATTGATATAGAAAGGAATTTAAGTGCTAGTTCAGATCTTCGAAAAAGCAAAATTAATGAGGATCATAAAGCTATAAAAATACACTCCTTACAAGATTCTGATTTACCTTGTTCAATTTGTAAGAGACGAAATCATAAAACAGAAAACTGTTTCTTTTCAAAACAACAAAATAAAACATACAGTCCACCAAGACAAACACAAGGATTTTCAAAACCCTATTTTAATAATCAAAATTTCTCAAAAAATAGAAATCCCTTTAACAATGGTAACAATTTTTACAGAAATAAAAATAATAACTCTAACAATTTTATGAATAAACTTTCTAGAAACTTCCAAACTTCACGACTCAATCTAATACGATCTAATAACAAATAATAGACCACGAATAATTTTAACTTTTTGCAAAATATTAACAAATAATCATGTACTATGAATAATTAAATTTTTTTTAACAAATAATATTCTACGAATAATTTAAAAATATTAACAAATATTATTAAACAAATTATTTTTAATTAACAATTACTAAACAACTTTATTTTACATAAAATATTTTTTCAAAAATTGTTCTATGATTTAAAAAAAAAAAAAAAGAAAAAAAAATTTTTTTTTTCAAAAAAAATTGTTCTACGATTTAAACTAAATTCTACGATTTATACAAATTTTTTTTTTTCCAAAAAAAAATTTTTGTTCTACGATTTAAACAAAATTTTTCTTTTTATACAAAATGTTTTCAAAAATTGTTCTACGATTTAAACAAAATTTTTCTTTTAATACAAAATGTTTTCAAAAATTGTTCTACGATTCAAACAAAATTTTTTCTTTTTCTACGATTATTGTTCTACGATTTAAACAAAATTTTTCTTTTATACAAAATTTTTCAAAAATTGTTCTACGATTTATGCAAAATTTTTCTATGACTTACTCAAAACTTTTTCAATTAACAAATAATGTTAAAACGATTTTACTCAATAATGTTAAACAAACATATTGTACTACGATTTACTAAAATATTTTGTTCTTCACAATGAACACTAGAATAATGTTTTCTTGGAATTCTTTTTCTACGATTCTACGATTTAAAAGAAAGTTAATCTTATGTATTACGATATCAAGAATTTTAGACAAATCTTCTGCCGAAGCTTCAATCGCAAATTTTCAATTGTGCGATTGAATTAAGAGGGGAGGTGTCACATGCCACGTGTGTGACCTCTAAGTAACCTTAGACCAGACCTGTTACCAAGCAAACTTGACAAACACCCATCGATGAGCAATCTTTTTACAACCCTATTACGTCGATACACGGATGTGATCTGGGTATATAAGGCCCTAAATTTGGATCCAAAAGTCAGTATCTAGTCAGCATCCAGTCAGTATCTAATTTAAATCAAACCGATCGACATCATCTCTGTACCAGTAGTCAGTGCGAATCTTTACTCGTTACCTACGATTATCCCAGTCTAAGTAATACCCATCTCGTGTGAGACCAAGCCGTTGTCAAATCTCCAAGCAGTAAAAATTGGAAAGGCGGTGCATCTGAACTGACTGTGGACGCACGAGCGGAGAACGGGTTTTCAGCTTCACAAAGAAGCAATAAAGGTAATTAACTAAATCTTTTCATCATATTCTTTCGATACAATTTCTATATCTAATAAACGCCTATTTGTTAAAGGTGTTTATTGGAACTGGTCTTCTCTCGGCAACATACAAATAAAGAACTTCAAGAAATCATTATATACTATTTTATAATAAATTTCATTTTAACTAATTCTTAACTTTTATTCATTGATTCTTTTTCCTCATTCCCAAATAAGATTTCTTCGGAATTTCTTATTTAAAACGAGGATAACAAATGTTAAGAGGTGAGTTACTTTTCACGTAACAAAAGTTTGAATTATTAAATTAAAAAAATTATCAAATATTTTTAAATATATGATAGAATTAAAAGAGGTTAGCTTAATTAATTATTAATTAATTCACCTAAAATTTACACTATCGTTCCTCCGTACGGTTTTTCAGCTGCCGAACTTATGTCCTGGTAGGCAAACCAAACATTCGCTCCACGGTCTAATTTTATTTTATTTTTGCAAATGACATCCTGTTCTAACACAACACAATTAGACTGTTCTTCGACGAACTGTATTAAATACTGGTTTTCTCCTTTTTCCATTTTTTATTTTATTATTTTTAAAAAATTATTTCTGAAATCCTACAAACTGACAGTTCTTATTGGTTGCTATGGAAATAGCAAATGAAGATTACCTTAAAGTTATTATTTTAATAATTGACAATCCTGACAATCCTGGAGTTCAATTATTAAAATAATTAACTTCAACGTAATCGTCATTTGTTATTTAACCCTTTGAGGGTCACATTATTCATATGGACAGATTTTCTTTACAACTCATGTCTTAATATTTTTGGGGTCGCTGATTACGAATTTGAAGTTAGTTTTTAAAAATTCAAAATGGCGGATCCAATATGGCGGACATTTTTTTTAATTAATCGGATTTGTTTGGAAATGTTTACTCGGGGGGTTTTGGGGTCGCTGATTACGAATCTGATGTTAGTTTTTAAAAATTCAAAATGGCGGATCAAATATGGCAGACAATTTTTTTTAATTAATCGTATTCACTTGAAAATGTTTACTTAGGGGTTTTTGGGGTCGCTGATTACGAATCTGATGTTAGTTTTTAAAAATTCAAAATGTCGGATCCAATATGTCAGATGACAAATGTAAAAATTTATTAGATTGTCACGAAACTTCTTACTCGAAGGTTGTTGTAGTCCCTGATTACCAATGTTTAGTTTGTTTTTGAATTTAGATTGTGGGTTAATAATTAGCGAAAAAATTTTTAAATCAGTGACTTCGAAAATTCCCAAATAACAATTTTTAAGTAAATCCAATTAATTTAAAACAAAATTGACCGCCATGTTAGATCCGCCATTTTGAATTTTTAAAAAATAACATCAGATTCGTAATCAGCGACCCCAAAAACCCCCGAGTAACAATTTTTAGTCGATTTTAAAATGTTTGAAAAATTCCCCAGTGAGAAATTGCCAATAGACTTTAATCGGTCCAATATCGGTCCAATATTGGTTGCCGTGCTGGGCGCCGAATGACTCCCAATATTGGACCAATATGGGCTGATGCTTGGGATGTAACGGGTTCGCCAAGCATCGGTTGTTAATATTGGTCCAATACTGGCCGAATATTGGCAACCAAGAGAAAAAATTTTTTTAATTAAATAATAATAAAAAATTAATGTTTATAATTTTTGTTTAATATATTTATTTATTAAATTATTTATTTTTAATAATTCATGTAAATAATAAATAATTTATTATTTATAAATTATAATTATTTAAAAATGCAGCAACTATTAGGAAATAGCATTCTGCAAAAAAATTCTATCATTAAAAAATCAATGATAGGCGAGAGATATCCGCGTCATTAAATAGATTCGCCGATGATAGGCAAGAGATATCCGCGTCATTAAACAGATTCGCAGATATACTCTGGTCTCGCGACGAATCTCTCGATACTTATATACACTGGAGTCGCCGTGTCAGTTGTGAGAACGGTTACAGCGTCCCTCTTGCGGCAGAGATAAGAATTGTCACGTAAACTGCTAAATCGCTTTACCGACGGCCTTATTATACCAGCAGTTTACGTGACAATTCTTATCTCTGCCGAAAGAGGGA